CCTGCAGGTCCAGGAAAACCGCGAGGGCCTGGTGGACCTTGAGGTCCAGTGCGACCTGATGAAATTAGAGTAATAATTACAGATCCAAATTGTAAAACCTACTTGATTGGTTTGATTCAAGTGCCATGCAATTTCACATCTATTTGGAGAGGTGTTACAGACCTCTTGCCGCCTGCTCGAATTTGCTCAAGGCCTTGCGATTTCTCGTTGGCAAAGATAGGCCCGATTCGTAGCAGTGATAATGGGGACCTGCCCATTCAAGCACATGCAAACATCATAAACATACCCTCCGTGCAAACGATCTTCTTACGGAATCTGTGTCTAGGTCATAAAAAATAATAAGGTCAAAGCCATGCTACCGAGGATCTCATTCTATCAAATATAGTTGTCAAACACCATGAATACAGATGGCCCGTATAACATAACAGAACTCTTTGTTTACAATTCAAATGAAAGGTAAAAAGGAGACAAAATAGGTAAAATATCCCTTTCAAATTTTCTCCTAAAAAAGGGATGTTCTTGTCATATTAATTGAGTTGATTCGGATGATAAATGCTCAGCATGCGTGTTCATGAAATAGAAATTGGTTTTATATGACACCCAAAGTTTCGTTACATTTTTATGCAATCAAAGATTGACCTTATATCGGTCATTATTCGTCGCCTGGGGCTCGGAAGTTTCCGGTTGTGTCACGACAAAACCTGAACCCCCCCCCCAATTTTCATTTTCTTATGAACCTCTCCCCCTATCGGCACTTAATTGGCAGCCGACTGTTCTTTAGTCTTCTTTTAAACCCCCCCTCCGTTCCCTCCCGAAAACCATGCGACCCCCCTTTCAAGAAAAAAATATATTCATCTTCCCAGGCGATAAATCATGACGGGTCCCTTAGGCAGACAAAAGAATCCAAAGTTAAAGAAATTTTCCCGCAAGCCACCAAAAGAATTTTTTAGCTGGTTTCTTCGAGGTCTTCTAGTATAATAGAGAAAGCAGTTCAGTTTTGAGTGTACGATACCACGAGTAAAAATTATCATTTGTCTTAGTGACATGTTTGTGCGGTGATTATCGACCAGAGTTACAGATAAACATGGTCACTAATAATAGTAAGGAATAAATAACCCTCATTTTGCTGTCGATTCAAGTTGGAACAAACACTTCTACACTTGCCACACATGAATGGAGTAGAAATATCTCTTTTGACGATTTGGTCCTTCGTCTTTGATCTACGTCCTGGCGCGTTCCAATATGTAGTTTGAACGGTTACACCATTTTCATGCCGATATGGAAGACTTTTTAACACCAAATTCTGCTCAAAAGGGACCTTAAGCAGTCAGGACGGCAACGCCAAGGAAGACGTTGATTGAAAAATGAGTTTCTTCTTTTAATTAGAATTTGGAAAATGGTCGCATGTGTTTACCGTCTCCTATGGCGCCACACCTCAACCTCAACAAAANAATTAAAATAATTTGCCGTCGCGGTTTCGGTTCGTAGATGACGCAAATTTTGGTGATTTCACGTTGTTGTTTTGCAAAGGACGGCTAAGAAATGTACAAAGTTTTAAAACGCACGTGCTGAGCTATTGTTCTGCCAATTAGATCTCTTGTTTTTCCACGTCCTCATTGCCGTCACCGTCGTGGTTTGCTTAAGGTCCCTAACAGCTGGCAGACGGCTGTCCAGACGGTTCAATGAGTAACATGTAAAACCAAGTGAACCCAAGGTAAGAATCAAATGGAATGAAAAGCCGTAAAGGAGAACGTTCGAGTGCTTAATAATTTTGGAATCCACGTTTGGCAACCTCTCTCGTTGAAACAGAGACCTTGTTGACTTCCGTTTTGATTTTCTGCCGGCAGTCATGTTGGAACATAATGTTGATCTTTTTTAGCTATTCATGTTGATCATTTTTTTTTATATATATATCCTGCAAAGCCTCTTCTAGTGTCTGGTTCATTCAGACGCCGTCAAGATGCTCAAATACAGGAACAATCCAGCACCAAGTTACCTAACTAATGTGTTTTAAAAGAGCTCGAGATCTATGATACAAGGATTACTAACAACATAAGTTAAACCTGCCCAAGCGCAGCACGGCCTTAGCACGAAAATCGTTTGCATATAAAGGGCCATCAGTGCAGAATTCTATGTCACTTAAAATGAAGAGTCTTTTTAAGCACGGCAACTTTTAAATGCAGCTTGAGGAAGCACCTTCTAGAAAGTTTTCTTAGTAGAAATGACCCTTTTTTTTAGAGTTCTCTGTGGCAGTTGACATCTAGCTCATTATAGCTTTTACACATGTAACATAGAGAAAATCTGTTTTAATCATTGTCTAGAATCTCCCCATTGGGGAGTCCTAAGTATACCGCGTTAGCGCATATAGTTAACCTCTCCACTAAGCACGATAATTTTTAAAGAAAATCCTCTCGTCCATGTAGTACATTTTGCGTCGGAAGAAAACAGCGAAATGACCCTGAGGAATCAGTATGGAACTTTTTATGCAAAACTCGCAATTACAACGAATGATTCACTTATGTGTTTCTCCTAAAATTGCAGCCACAAAGTTAGATAAGATTAATGTCAGAAAAAAAAATGGATATCATGACGAAAAAGTGAACTTCAATATTAACTTCCATCTATCAATATGCAGGCTAAGACGTACATAGTCGCAGGGAGTAATCGATAATCAAGCCCCCCAACCTCCCCCCCCCCCCACTTTGTGTTGATAAAGCTATGTAAACACTGTCGATGAAAGTCCTCCATTGCTTAGTCATGACTGTCAAGATTGTAACCCTTGCTTCGAAGATTAATGTTGCCTAGCGTGCGAAATATCAGTTGTATATAAAATTTGTTGGCTTAGCATTTCTAAAACCGCTGTTCCTACTCTTTTAATAATTTCTTTTTTTCTTTCGGGCACGCTGCCACCACTTAAAATCAAGCTGGAGCATATTTTATTTTCTTCGATTATTTTCTCTGGCGTTAACAATATATAGAATATTCTCAATCGAAAAGATAGAAAACACAGTGGTAGTATTCGGTGTATCACATTAAGGTAATTGTACATCTTCTAATATTCAAAATATCAATTTAAATTTTTTTTTTTTTGTGCGATCATAACAGTCTATTATTCTCATTCACTGACATGCAAATTATTTCCAAAAATCCGATCTGCTAACCCGTAAAATAAGTCACTAATTGCACTAAACTTCGTTCTCAAATTCACGAGAATTAGTCAAGACGTTGCTAATTTGCACTCTCCAAATCAAAATTTAATGATCAAGTAAGCTGCTTTCAGCCAACTAAAATGGGTTTATTTTTCAATCAAAAGGATAAGCCCAATTAAAGGACTCCTTTAATTTCCTGGAAGTGTTAGAATTGGGAAACTTTAGGTGACGCGCTAATCTCACGGAAATGCAACCCATGTTATGAACTAATTTGACGGTCTAACTTTCCGGAGGAATTCCTTTTTCGACTGTATTCTGAATGTTTGATCTTTTAAAAGAATCGGGGATTCAACTGATACATGAGGAAATTATGCTCGAAAATTCTCAGTGTCTGCTCAATGTTTCTACACGGGTCTGGTTTTAATTCTTGCTTTTTTTTTAAGCCATGTATTTATAGTTGTGTTGATCTATTAAGAGACCGCATTTGACGCGTTCATTTGCAATAGCCGGATGTAATGAAAAAGCTGAAAGCTTGTCATAAATGAACATCGTTTTCCTCTACAACTTAGGACATTGCAGAAACATTTTCTTCCCCAGAAAGGTACGTTAAATGAAACAAATGCGAAAACATTCGATCTGCTTCTCCAACAACTTTGACTTTAAACGGCCAAGACACACAAGTTTGTGAAATTTCTATGCTAAAGACAAAATGGTTATTGAAATGAACTAAAATGTTACATCAGTGGTATAATCCGACGAAGGAAACACAAGAAACGGTAAGGAGCCGCAAAATGTTTGAATTATCAAATTAGAAATAACGAAAAATTATTGAAGTAGGTAACATGCAGGGTTAGTATCAGTATGCTGTCTTTATAAGGTATCTTTTTTCATTTTGAAGGGATTGGGTCGATACTTTAAATTGCTTTTCGAACAATCATCCACAATTAACGATCGAACATTATTGCGTGGCTCCTTTGTTGGGTGATAGATGGTGGAAGCAGATAGACACCTCTTGGCATCAGTGAGTGTACCATTTGCCTAGTATCAAGGTGGAAAGAATTACTTGAGACTTGAGACTTGAGACTTGATACAATAACTTGCGGTTAAGAACAACAACCCCTGACAAAGCAAATGAGTTCTCAATAAGGTGTCTGTTTTAAGTGGCAGTAAGTTAATGTTTAGCAAAAAAATTATGTCCAAGTTCCTCACGGGAAGTTGATGTTTCATCGAATGGTGTAAGCCTTGGGTAGAAGCGAACAAATTTTCAGAACAACTAATTGATTTTTCAGGAGGAATTCAATGGCTCAT